GCTCTCTTTTGCCTAAAAGAATACCCTAATTATCTGTGTAACTGAATAGAATCATACATTCTATTACGCTTTTTGGGGTATGACCACAGGCCTATTGGTCTTAACTACCTAGGCTTCAGGCAAATGATTGCCAGTTAACTTTGATTGTATCTTTCTTTTTGCTTTGTTCAGACTAGTTTCAGGGAACCTTATACACTTAGGGTATATAAGGCTTTCACAAAAACTGGTTGGGGTCCTTGGCTAAGAGGAGACTATGCCTTGGCCCCGCGGGTGTAATAAACTGCACTCCACTATCTGCAGTGTCCTTCTGAGTGAGTTTGTTTCCCAGGATGCATGGCTACAACACACAGGCAACACTGAGAGAGTATCCACATCTTTAGTGGCCTTATGGGAGCAGCTAGACTTCTTGGCTGAGGTGTTTTTACAAAATAAGAGAGGGCTACACCTACTGACAGCTGAAAAGGCAGGACTCTGCCTCTTGAAAGGACAATGCTGTCTTTATGTAAACCAATTAGGAATAGTCAGAGACATGGTCCAACAGCTAAGGGAATGAATCATGAAAAGCCGAGAGGAACTAGCAAATTCTTGGGGTAATTTGAACAATATCTGGAACTGGGCATTGTGGCTTCTCCCATTAACTGGTACTCTCTTCATGTCCTTTCAGGCCCTTTGGCCCCTGTATTCTCAAAGATATTACCCAGTTCATCACCTCTCGAATGGAATCCATAAAGTTACAAATAATAATAGCTCAATATAGTCCCATAAACGACGGGGAGCTCTGAATGTCCTATCAAACATGAGATGATGCTTTCTATAATGAGTGATAGAAGCATCAAGCGGGGGCAATGAAGAGGAAAAACTATAGATTTTTACAAAGCCTCCTTCTCCTTCTGCCTCTGTAACTCAGCTTGCTCTTTGCAAAGTCTTGATCACGTAGGTCTCAAAACGTGAGGACTCACAATACTAGGAACTGGAGTTAATATAACTCACCCTTGTCCTCCTCTTTGCAATTGCCCTAGCCCCTGCAAACCTGCAAACTCTCTTAATCATGCCTGTCGATGTATAAAATCTCTGTAAACCCTTTGTTTGTTGCTCAGAACTTGGAGTGTTAACTCCTCTGGGCCCCTGGCATAGTAAACCTGAGTTCTCCAACTCTCCAAGTGTTGGTGCTTGGTTTCTGCAATGACCGAAACACTCCAGCCTCCTGGGCTCTGAAGTTGGAGGTCCCTCGCTTGCAGACAGGTGGTCACAGTTCAAATAATTTTGTGAAAACCCGTGTCCCCAGGCTGCAGAGGGTAGTAGAAAAACCTAAGTACTCAGGGTATCCTGTGGCTTCCCAAGTGGCACTAGTGGTAAAGAACCACTTGTCAATGCAGGAGACACCAAGAGGTATGAGTTCAATTCCTGGGCCAGGAAGATTCCCCTGGAGGAGGGCATGGCAACCCATTCCAGTATTCTTCCCTGGAGAGTCCCCAGTGGCCGAGGAGCCAGGCGGGCTACAGTCCATGGGAAGGCAAAGAGTCGGACTTAGCACGCTAAAGGCAAGGTGTGTTTGGGAAGAATTCTGAGAGCAAAGCTTTGCAGGAACCCAAGGCCCCCAAGTGATTCCCACCAAGCAGTTATTCCCACCACCTCTCTCCCAAGGGCACAGGCAGAGGCAGTGGAGGGCCACACCCATCCTAGAAAGAGCCCCTCCCCAGGCAATCAGCCCAACTTCCTTTGTTTCTAGAAGTTCCCGCCCTAATCCTCAGCTCCAGAGAGGTCTCAGGAGTGCGGAGTGTGAGGCTGCAGGTCAGGGCTCCTAAATGCGGGTCTTCACCGGCCATGTTTCAAAAACCCTCATAATGTCTGTCAGCTAGCCCAGTAGTCAGGTCCATCGTCTCCCGTGAATTGTGCTGCGACCTGCTCTCTGTAATGCAAAAAGAAAGGAGAACTCTCAGGGGTGGTCTGCAAAGAGAATGCACCAAAGCTAAGCACCCAACACAGAATGTGATTAACATGTCAGATTAGTCTAGATTGCCGCCTACCGATCAGGAAGAGAGAAAGCCCAAAAAAGTCTCAGAATAGGGCAGGAGAGACCAGAACCTTTTTTGTTCATTTTCACTGCAGCAGTTGCAGGTGAAAGAGCTGTGTGGATGCCTTTGAAGGTATTTTCCCAACCTGTGGACGTGAGCTTGCGACATAACATCCCCAGAGAAGACTCAGAGCAGCAGGAAGAAGAGGAGGAAATGGCAGCTTCTCAGGTAAATGTCCTGTCCGGGTCTGGGGTTCTGCTGCTTTTCCTCCTGAAACGCCTGGACTGAGAACCTGCAAACCTTTAGTTCTCTGATTCTAAGTTTTCTCCCTCGGTGGTTTGTTATTATCTACTTCTTAGTTTTTCATTTTTTTCTTAGTATAGTGAAGAACAGCTCTTTAGACTAACTTCTCCATTAAATCCCAGAGCCTGTTATCCATTGTCATTTCTCTATAGCCTAATGAATTCTCAACATGAATTAGTGACGTTCAGTTGTTCACTATATGCCCTTAGGGCGAGATCAACACGGGGATGCACTGCTACCAGAGACTCCCACTGGGATGTGGTCTGGTGTTAGGATCATAGTGAAGTAGGGGAAATTGCGTGATGAGTTTACATGTGGATGCAGCTTCAGCTCATTAGAGCAGGAGTTACAGATTGTCTTTATAAGTAGAGTGAACTCAGTGGTCCACAGTTGTTCAGAAAACTTTCAGAAATAAAAACGTTGCAGAGACTGCCCTATATCGATAAGTGAGACTAACTACTTAAATGTAGTATTAGACTACAGATTAGGGAAGGCATATGTGAAGTGAAGTTTGCCTAAAACACTTTTTAAAAATATTTATTTGGCTGCACCGGGTCTTCATTGTGGCAGGTAGGATCTTCAGTCATCCTTGTAGTTTTCAGTTCTTTCATTGTGACAAGTAAACTCTTAGCTAAAGCATGTGGGATCTGGTTTCCTGATGACGGAAATAACCAGAACTTGGTGCCTTGGGAGCTCAGGGTCTTAGTCACTGGAACTTCACAGAGTTCCTGAACTAACATTTTTTAGTGATAGATTCAGGTCATAGTTTCCATATAGTGCCAAATACCCGCGCAGTGATAATGCATTCCTCCATGGACTTCTTGCCCCATGACTCACGTTCACTGGTTAGGTGTTTCTGTGAGATGCCCATGCCATGAATTTGTGTTTGTCTTTTTTTTCATTTGACTTGAACAAGTATCTTGGAAAGAAAAAGTGAGGGATTTACCTAAACTGTCACAATTAATGAAGTAATTGCATGTCTTCTTTCTTTCTGCTTTGGAAAATGAACACTCAGGTGTGTTCAGCAGAGATGCTGGGTTTTGGGAGTGGATGTTTTCATCCCAAGCCCAGGTCTGATCTTTTCCAGTACACTCCATGCTCACATCACAGAGTCTCATTACAGTTCTGTATTTTCCATAATGTTTACAAGAATCTTATTAGTCATATTCTATGCTCAACTGTACTAAAATTCTAAATACAGCTCAATGTAAAAAAAAAATACAGCTCAGTGTAAATAAAGAATATCATTCTCAAACATTACATACATTATTTTTTATTTTTTATGTACATTTTTAATCCATTCAAAATTACCTGAGCTTAGTGACATGAAACTTTTTCTCTCTTACCCTTAATAAGCATACAGCCCCATTAGGGTGTAGGTCAGTCCTCAGTGAGATGAATTTGAGTAGGCTCTGGGAGTTGGTGTTGGACAGGGAGGTCTGGCATCCTGTGGTCCATGGTGTCGTACGAGTCAGACCTGACTGAGCGACTGAACTGAACTGGAATGTATGTATGAAAATATTAACATGACTTGATCAATTATTTCTTCTTCTTCTTGTGGTTAGTTTTTTTTTTGTAGAACTTCTGTGGACGGGAATGTCTACCCACTCCAGTATTCCTGCTTGGGAATTCCTTTGACAGAGGAACCTGGCAAGTTAAGAGTCCATGGGGTCACAAAAAACTGGACATGCCTGAGTGACTAAACCTTTTCTTGGCTTTAGTATTCTTTACGTTACAGACTTCTATCACCTTTTCTTAGCATTGTCTCTGTGAATCGTCTGTGTTTTATTAGTTAAAATCTGAAGTACATAAGCTGAAGTAAAGTTTAAGCTCTGCCATTTAATGACTTTGTTAATATTTGCCAAAAGGTATAAGAGCAACGTTACTGATATTCATTATTTCTAACTAACCTTATACCTCAGGTGGGAGGAAACCAAGTTTCTCTGACTCCTGAATATACTAAAGTATTCCATTCTGACTACTCCTGTTTCTCACTGGTGGAAAGGACCAAGCTTTCCCCACTCCTGCAAATTCAATGGATGACTGCCATTTGGGAAGGCTTCCAGATTATCCTATTAGACTATTAAAATCTGTAAAACAATTACAGTTCCAACTTAAGTATGAATTCTTACCTTACTATTCTATTTCATTGAAGTTCAAAATCGTCATTCATCGAGCAGAATATTCAACATTACCAACTCAAATAACCTTGCTAAAAATGTGGCACTTTGGCCCCACTTCAGAACTCTTGGTTCAGAATACACTTTAAAAAAAAAAATTCCCGTTTCTTTGATAAACAATTTATCCTACGTCACACGAGTAGAACACTGAAAAATCTGCCAATGTTGCCCTGATGATTTTATAATTTCTCTTCTAGATGAGAATAGTTTCTCTAATGGCTTGTGGATCATAACTCATTCTCTTCTTCACATTAGAAATTGGGTAGAAAGATTACTGTGTAAAAAATATATTTTGTAATACCAGCCAAACCACTAAATCACGACCAGGTCTCTCAACTTGCTGTTTTCATCTTAGGTCACATAAGGAAGTCTTCCCTCGGCCACATGCCCTCTGTACTTTGTATTTCAGGGACGGCTGACGTTCCAGGATGTGGCCATAGACTTCACTCAGGAGGAGTGGGAATGCCTGGACTTCGGTCAGTGGGAATTGTAGAGGGACGTGATGTTAGAGAACTATGGAAACCTGGCCTCCTTGGGTAAGGATAACTGCCATCCAGAATCGCTTACCTACCCACTAGGTTTTGGTTCCTTCATTTCTAGAATGTCTTCTGAAATTTTCTGTTTCCCACAATAGTTCCAGATCTCTGCTTTCTAGGGGAAAATAAGTATCTCTGAGTTTAGAAAGAAAGGCTTCATCATGACTCGTTATGCTGGTGATGTTTTTCTTCCTTGATATACTCCGCCTGCTTCATTCTAGGTTAGTGGTAATTGTGTAAGTTCTGTGGTATTAAATAGTTGCACACTGTCTTAAATTCACATCGACACTATTTACTTTTGCCATAGTACTACTTGACCAGAATCCCAGGATCTGATTGTTAGGTGTTTGTTAGTATTGTGTAGCAGCTTTGAATAAAGTATTTCTGGATATCGTTTTCTAGAACAAAATGCGTTCTTGTCTCACCTGAATACATATTGGATTCAATACTGATGAATCTCTAACAACACAAATTTTCCTTTCTCTGATCAACAGGGCTTGTGTCTAAGCTGGACCTGGTCGCCTTGCTGGAGCAATTGAAGGATCCCAGGAATATAAGGAGAATGGAGACAACAGCCATTTACCCAGGTAGGTATGAATGGATGGAGATGATGACTCAGGTGAGTGGTCTAAGGAGCAGCGAGGAACTAATCCTTCGTCACATGGCTTTGGAAGATTTGCTTCAATGGAAATGGCTTTTGAAAACCTGGGTTTGTGTCTGCTACTGTCGTAGAAATGTATCACCAGCCCCATTCTGTCTCTTAAATCATTCATAAATTTATCTCCAGTGATTAGTTTTCTTCACCACAGTGTGAACTAAAATTCTCCTGTTGGCTTGTGACAAACTGCATTCATTAGTTGCTATGCAATTTCTTGGGGGCCCTAGGAAAACTCTGCCCATTTCTGAGTAACTGTATGACAGTCCTTTTCAAGTTTCCTTCAACCTCTAGACAGAAATGTGTGAGTGCAGTGGTAGACAAACTGCCAAACTTCTGGGAATCCTGGGGATGGGTTTTTGTTCTCTGGTTTATAATTTCCTATCCACTGTGAGCGACACATACGACCTTCTAAATAACTTTCAAATTCAAGTGATTTGTCACTGCAGAAAGCAAAACCTCATGAAAATGAAAGAATGCACATCTCAGGTTGACTTCAAAGTTCCTCTTTCACTTATATGATCACATATTAAATATCTTAAGTGTATTCGCCCTCATTCTAACTTGCTAAAATACTTTATTATATTCTATTACCTCATAGAATTTTAAAATAAATTGCCATAAGCTCATAGCACATTTCCCACTATATTATTAATACTTGATTCAAACTATGACAATTTTTAGGTTATATAAAGAAATCTTTTTTAAAAGTTTGAATTGGAATATAGCTGTTTTCCAATTTTGTACTCCTATACAGCCAAGAGAATCAATCATACGTATCAGTCAGTTCAGTTCAGTTGCTCAGTCGAGTCTGACTCTGCAATCCATGGTCTGCAGCAAGCCAGGCTTCCCTGTCCATCATCAACTCCCAGAGCCTGCTCAAACTCTTGGCCATCGAGTCAGTGGTGCCATCCAACCATCTCATCCTCTGTTGTCCCCTTGTCTCATCTTCAGCCTTTCCCAGCATCAGGGTCTTTTTCAGTGAGTCAGTTCTTCGCATCAGGTGGCCAGAGCATCAGAGCTTCAGCATCAGCCCTTCCAATGAATATTCAGAACTGATTTCCTTTAGGATGGAGTGGTGTGATCTTCTTGTAGTCCAAGAGACTCTCAAGAGTCTTCTCCAACACCACAGTTCAAAAGCATTAATTCTTCGGCACTCAGCTTTCTTCATGGTCCAACCCTCACATCCATACATGACTACTGGAAAAACCATAGCTTTGACTAGATGAACCTCTGTCAGCAAAGTAATGTTTCTGCTTTTTAATACGCTGCCTGCTTTGGTCATAGGTTTTCTTCCAAGGAGCAAGTGTCTTTTACTTTCATGGCTGTAGTCACCATCTGCAGTGATTTTGGAACCCAAAAAATAAAGTCTCCCAGTGTTTTCACTGTTTCTCCTGCCAATTGCCATGAAACAATCTGACTGGTGCCATGATCTTTGTTTTGTGAAGGTTGAGTTTTTTTAGCTTTTTCACCCTCTTCTTTCAGTTTCATCAAGAGTCTCCTCAGTTCCTCTTCACTTTCTGCTATAAGGGTGGTGTCATCACTGTATCTGAGATTATGAGTATTTCTCCCTGAAATCTTGATTCCAATTAGTGCTTCATCCAACCTGATATGTTGCATGATGTACTGTGCATATAAGTTGAATAAACAGGGTGACAATGTAGAGCCTTCACGTACTCCTTTCCCAATTTGGAATCAGTCCATTGTCACATGTCTAGTTCTCACTATTTCTTCTTGACATGCATACAGATTTCTCAGGAGGCAGGTAAGGTAGTCTGGCTTTCCCATCTCTTTAAGAATTTTTCACACGTTCTTGTGATCCTCACAATCAAAGGCTGTGTTGTAGCCAATAAAGTGGATGTAGTTATTTTTTCAGAATTCTCTTGCTTTTTATATGATCCAAGGGATGTTGGCAGTTGGATCTCTGGCTCCTCTGCCGTTTCTAAATCCAGTTTGAACATCTGGAAGCTCTCGGTTCACATACTGTTAAAGCCTTGCTAGGAAAATGTTTGAGCATGTACTATTGTTTGAAATGAGGGAAATTGTGTAGTAGTTTGAGCATTCCTTGGCATTGTCTTTCTTTGTGATTGGAATGAAAACTGACCCTTTTCAGTCCTGTGTCCAGTGCTGAGTTTTCAAAATTTGCTGACTTATCTAGTGCAGAACTGTAGCATTATCACCTTTTAGGACTTGAAATAGGTCAGCTGGAGTTTCATCACCTCCACTAGCTTTGTTGGTCATCATGCCTTCTAAGTCCTACTTGACTTTGGATGCCAGGATGTCTGTGCCTAGGTGAGTGATCACACCATAGTGGTTATCTCGGTCATTAAGAACTTTTTTGTATAGTTCTTCCATGTATTCTTGCCAACTTCTCTTAATATTTTCTGCTTCTTTTAGGTCCATCCCGTTTCTGTCTTTTTTGTTCCCATCTTTGCTGGAAATATTCCCGGTACCTCTAATTTTCTTAAAGAGATCTCTAGTCTTTACTGTTCTATTGATTTCCTTCCCATTTAGGTCTCCACAGAGCAATGAGTAGAGTTCCCTGTTTCAGTCATAGTTTTAAAGTCTCTCTTCTTATTTAATTTCTTAAAACTAGTACTTCATTAAGTGTATCTTATTTGTTTCAGCTTCCTTGGACACTGTCTTATGTGTCCTCAGTTTCTGATTAGCTCTCTGTCACTATCACTTATGATTTTTAGATTGAAACATCTAATAGACCATTCTCAGAAATGTGTGTGGCAAGAAGTGGATTTAAGAATTATTAGGCACCTTAGATTTGTGAAAGTGTGTGGAGTCTCCACTTAAGAGGACTAATAGCAGGAAGTAATCATTAGATTGCCTATCACCTCTGAATTCAGTGGTGCTTGGAGGCTTTTATCTTGCTTCTTCCCCTATAACTTATTTCTTTGCCATATAATTTTGTCCAGCATTCTGTTCGTGATCTGTGTTTTGAAGGCTACAGGAACCTAGTTAGTCTTCCTTCTGGTGTCTGCACCTTGGTGGATGAGGTTGGTCCCGAGGTTTGTGCCCTTATCCTCTTGATCTGGGCTTTGATTGCTGTTAACTGTGACCAGAGCCTGCTGTGGATATTCAGGGCTGTTTCCCCATTGTTCTGTGGTTGTTACTGCCCTCTCTCTGGTGGTGCCTGCTCCCTGCGTGCTGGAATAGAGCCCCCAGATCTTCGTCTTAGCTGTGATTCTGATCTGTGGTGCAAGGCAGGTGGGACTGGAGCACCCGCACATGGAGAAAAGTCTCTGAGTATTACTGCTCTGGGGATGTTCACTCAGGCTGTGCTCTGGTTCCCCCTCTCATGTGTTCTGTAGGCTCTCATGTAATGTAGTGTTGGCACTGCTCTTGGCCCCACCTTAACCATGGGCATGATGGCACATGGCACTGGTGTCTGGCAGATGTTTTCACAAGGTCACCAGCATAGATTCAGTGAAGTCAGGTCCTGGGATTGTATTCAACGTGGAGCTGGACCCTCTGTGGTGCTCTGGGGCAGCTCAGGCTCTGTCCTGGCCCAGCCCCCTTGTGTGGGAGCCCACAGAGTCTACAGCCGCTAGAGCTCCCCCTGCCGTGACTGAGAGAGCGCTGCTAGGTGAATCAGATGCTCTGTAGGGGCTGAGGTTACACAGCCGGTCGTGGGTGTGAGACCGTGGCTTCTGTTGCTGCAGGGAGAGGTGTCAGCTTTTCTTCTTCATCCCTGGGCTCAGCTGTGCTTTCAGCTCCGTCTGAGTGTGTGGGCAACTCACAGGTGTCTTCTCCTGAGCTGCCCCAGAGCACAGGAGTCTGCTGATTGTGGAGGAGGTCGATGGGTGAGGCCGTGCCTGGCGCTCAAAAGACCTGCATGGGTGGAATTCTTCATAGCCCTTGGCAAGGATGAGCTGGCACAGAAGGCAAGGGATGCAATCGGTGTCTTCTTTGCGCATCATTCACCAAAGCCACTCTGCTCTCTGGGGGTTCAGTCTTCCAACTGAAGCATCCCACTTGTAGAGCTCCTCTCTCACTCCCATCTCTTCAGGATGTTTCCTCATAGCCAACCACAGTCCTCTGCGTGGGTCTGCTCCCCAGAACCCACATTCCAGCACCCAGCCCTTGTCTGCAGTGATGGACGTGCCTCTCATGCTGGGTGGGCAGGGCAGGGGTCAGGACCCCGTGTGCAGGTCTCACTCTATCCTGCTGCTACACGCTGGTTGCCATGTCCTCTTCCCATGGAGAATGAGGCTCTCCTTCTGTCCAAACTGAGCTCCCCTAGTCAGGGGCTTCCCCAGACATGGAGACCTCTTCTGACTTTCATCTTCCCCAGGACTGCAGGCCCCAACACACTTCCTCTCTGGTTCCTTTTCCTTCTTTTTTCTTTTCCTTCCTTTTCTTCTTCTTTCTTTTATCCTACCTGGCCCAGCAGGAATCTTTCTTGTATTTTTAGATTTCGAGGGGCCTCTGCTAGTGTTCAGCAGGGCTCTCTGGGAATTGTTCCATTTCTTGTTCATTTGGGCAGAGTTGATCTCCACATCTGCCTATACCACTGGTGTCTTGATCTTTCTGTCTCCTTTTATTTTATATTATCTCTTTTTTTCATTTTATTTTTAAACTATTTAATGGTCATCAATTTTCTCTAAATCTTTAAAGATATTCACTGAGAATAGCAGGTAAAATCACTTGCTATTTGGAATCTTTCAGCTATGACTCCACAAGACATCCAGGATTTGATGCCAAACAATCCAGCATAGAAGATGTATTCCCAAAATCAAACCTAGGAATATATCAAACATCTCAGCTCAGAAACTTAAATTTAATGAAAGCCTGGGAATGTCCGAGAGTATATGAAAAATGGAGAGTGTGTTTAAGTGGACATAAAGAAATGCAGACAGTTACACATAATGCTAACATCACTGCAAAAAGAAATCAGCAACATGAGTCAAATTGGGAAAAACACCAACTTCAGTCTTCAACATCTGCAGAGAAGTGTAAGTATTTAAGAAAAGATTTCCATCCTTTTGTGAAACATACATGTTCTCTGAAAGGAAATGTGGAAAATCTGGAAGGTAATCTAGTCTCTACTGAAAATACTCATTCAGACAATTCTGAACTTAGGCTTCGACTAAACATACATTCAAGCATGTCTGAACACCTACGATTTAACAATGAGTGGGAAAACTCACAATCTAACCAATTTGAGGGATCCATGACCAGGAGGTCATTATTCTTCCCCCAAAAAATATTTTCTCTGCATTCCAAGATGTATAATATTGATGATAATGGAAGAGATGTAATCCAACCGTCATTGTTCAATACATATTGTGATGTGGTTAATACACAACAACGTTGTATGTGTAATAAAATGAGTGAGACTTTAAATAAGAGCTCCAGCTCCAATATTCATGGTGGACTGAGAAGGTATTCAGGCAATGAAACTGGGTATACGGTTGAAGGAGACTCAAACCTTAAGAAACATCAGGGACCCAAATCTTCAAACAAGGAATCTAAAAGTAATAAATGTAGAAATGCCTTTGATCAAATGTCAGGTTTTTCTCTCGATAAGAGTACTTGTACTGAAGAGAGGACTTGTACTGAATGTGGTAAGTTTTCTAGTCAGTCTTCAGAACTTTTCAACAGCACACTGTTCAGAATCCACAGAAAGAAAACAAGTGTAAGATATGTGGGAAGGTGTTTAGTAACTCATGCCATCTAAGGAGACAAGAAAATTCATATAGGAAGGAAACCTTTCCAATGCAGCAAAGTGTGTAACCATTGCTGACTTCTTACTAAACATCAGAGAATTCATACAGGAGAGAAACATTACAAATGTACAGAATGTGGCAAAGCCTTTACTTACAATTCAGGTCTTATTCAACACCAGCAGGTTCATACTGGAGAGAGACCTTGCGAATGTAAAGAATGTGGCAAAGCCTTCACTACAAGTTCGGACCTTTCTCAACATCACCGAATTCATACTGGGGATAGACGTTATAAATGTACAGAATGTGGCAAGGCCTTTATTAAGGGTTCTGGTCTTACTAAACATCAGCGAATCCATACTGGGGAGAGACCATTTTCATGTACTGAATGTGGCAAAGACTTTGCTTACAACTCAGCACTTACTCAACATCGGCCAATTCATACTGGAGAGAGACCTTATACATGTACAGAATGTGGCAAAGCCTTTAGTCATAGTGGCAATCTCACTAAACATCTGAGAACACACATTGGAGAGAAACCGTAGTAATGGAACAAGTGACGGAAGAGGTTTGCCCTAGACATGCATCGGAAAACACAAGAATTTATACAAGAAACCTATGGCAGTGATGTAACAAATAGGTAGAAAAGTATTTAATCAAAAGTTAAATTGAAATGAATACCAGAGATTGCATACTAGAAGGCATTTCATCAATTTTGTTTTCAGAATTTTCTCTGAAGGAGAATGAATGTAGGGAGTACTCCATAGTTAAAACACATAGAAGATGAATATATTAGCATGAATTGTGAGATGAAGGTTGATGGTTAGAAAGTTACAATTCATAGCACTGTGTGTATGCTTGTTAATAATGATATGATTTGAGATTATTTGAGATGAATGTAATTCAGCACTCAAGTAATCCATACTATGCCTTCTTTCAAACATAGGTTTTTGATGGTTTATTAAATATTAACCTTTTTATACTGTGTTGCAACCATTTCTGTCTATTCTCCATTAGAAGATAAAGGATATCATGATGTTAAGTGGACAATGACCATCTAAATGGAGGTGTTTGTCATTGATGTGAAATATCTGGAGGTTGCCATGATGTAAGTGATCATTTAATCTTTCCATGTTGTAAAGTAAGACAGAAGTTGGTTGTAAGGTTTCAATAGTAATACCCTTCATTTGTAAGAACACAATGACAGTTCACTGCAATATTGATGTATCTTTATAATATCAACCAAGTCATGATTGTTACTTGACCATGTTGAAGTAAAGACAGCTTCTGTGATAACCTAGAAATGTATTAGAAACCCTTCTTGGAAAAGACATGGAATTAGTGTATATCATGCTTGCTAAGTGCTTCCTAGGCTTTGTTTGGTAAGCTGTGAAAATGACAAATCTCACATCATTATATCCTAAAACGAATATCTTTCTCTGTACTTTTGATCCGTACTTAATCATGGATCATACCATGGATTGTAAAAGGTTTTATTTCCACTCTGTGTGAAATTAATACATGGTTATTAATAAAAGTGAATGGCTTTTAGTGTTTCACTTGATTGTAATGAATGAATTGTTAACCCACCACCAACAGCAATCTCACCCACCTTATTTAAGGTGGTAGTGAAGAGATGACAATGAACTATTTGGCAGCACAGAGAGATGGCGCATGTGGAAATTAGTTTACCCACTGGCTTTAAATTTCTCATAACGTCAGATATATTCCATCATTTGTATGTTGTATCCCTTCCCATTTTGTAACTATTTGGACACTGTGATGGTTCTAATAAGAAACAGTATACAGAGCACTGTTGAGAGCTTCCCTGAACTGCTCCATGCTGTTGCTGCCTCAGCATCTGTCTGGGGAGCAGGCAGCCTGCAGGTCCTTGAACTCACACCAGCCAGTCCTGTGAGTACCTGCACTGGATGAACCCCTTCCTTGAGATCAGCAGTCTTGCTGAACCCCAGGGTCTATTCACAGGCGCCTGTTCAATCACACTGAGAGAGTCAATTTCTAGGCTGGTTGATAAGTCCGGGGGTCCCAAAGGAGAGAGGGGTCTGGACTTCTCAAGGTGGCAGAAAGAACAAACTCCCCCCCCCCTACATTCCTTAGGAATATGAAACAAATTATACTGCTTGAGGACAGTCTCGGGGGGGGGGGGGGGGACAATTTCTGGCTAATCCTGTTGTCTTACAATGTAAATTATTGGAGTGTGTCCAGTGAGGTCTTTACAACCTCCAGACATTCTTGTGATTCAGTGTAATAACTAATTAAAAGTATATAACTCCTTTGCTAACACTAGTGAGGGGGCACTCTTTTTGCCCCATTCTGATGTCTATGTCAGAAGCTTTCTCTATCTCTTTTATACGTTAATAATAAAACTTTATTACCCAAAAACTCTGAGGGATCAAGCCTCATCTCTGGCTCCAGATTGAATTCTTCTCCTCAAGAGACTAAGAATCCAGGTGTCTTATTGAGCAGCAACCTTTCAAGACCCTCACAGTACTCACCAGAATCTTTGTGTTGGCTTGAATTCAGCAATCCACACTCCGCCTAGGGAGCCCAGAGCACTTCACCCAGGGTAACCTCTAAAGGCTGAACCACAAGTCCTGGTGTTTTCTCTGCCTGATTCCAGCTTTGACCTCTCTCCGAAATTCCTGCCCTAAATCCTCCGCTACAGAGAGGGCTTTGTGCGGTGAGTGTGAGGCTTTGAGCTCAGGACTCCTGAACGTTGGTTTGGGGAAGAAACATCAGAAAAAAAATGGGATTTTCTGATGACTCCTTTCACGGCACGACTGTTGACCTGCAAATTCATAACTTCTTGGAGTGGGGACCTGGGCACCAGGGATTTGTATTCATTGAAATGGTTCAGAAAGAATCTTTAGCCAAGTGGTTTCCATCTGATTTCCCATCAGGATCATGTGACCAGTGTCAGGAAATGACCTCACTGATGCCCTCCCAACAGAGTTCTATGTTGGTTCTCTGGGAGTGTCAGTGCGGTGTGTAGGAAGTCCTCGAGGGCATTCTAAGGAGAGGCCTGGAGTAAGGACGTGGTTCCTGGTCCATTTGTGAGAGCTGGGCCCCGGCGTCAGTCTGAGGAGAGGCCGCAGGGTTGGTCTAGCTGGATTTGGACCAGGAAGTCAGTCAGCTCACATCGTCTGTGTGAACAGAGTGTTAGGAGTGCTTTATGGGGAGAGACCAATCAGGAAATAAGTTCACAGGCTGATCTCCAGGTAGGAACTGATTGTTCCTGAACCTCTCCTGAGACAGAGGACAGGAGAGGTCGGTCTTCTCAGCTTTCCAAGGTCCTTCTGTCTGTAGGAGCGGTGGTTGCAGGTTAAAGAACTGTGTTGATGCCCTCCAAGGTAGTTTCTCAAAACTCAGAAGTGCGTTTGCAGCGTAACATCCCCAGAGAAGACAGAGCAGCAGGAAGAAAAGGAGGAAATGGCAGCTTCTCAGGTCAATATCCTGTCCTGGGTCTGTGTCTGCTTTTCCTCCAGAAATGCCCAAATGAGAATATGCAAGCCTTTAGCTCTCTCCTCCTAATTTGTCTTCCCGGGCATTTGTTATCTATCATCTTATTTTTCCCATTTCCTCTTATATTAATGAAGACCAGCCCTTTACACTACTTCCTTGTGTTCCAGAGCCTTTTCTCCATTGTCCTCATCCTCCTTTCTATGGAGCATGATGAATTCTCATCATGAATCAGCGACTTTCAACTGTTGAAACTCTTCTTTTTGTGAGAGATCAGCATGGGGAGTCACTCCTATCCTCACTCCCACTGGGATGTGGTTTGGTGTTGGGATTTTATGGACATTTGGAAATGCAGTGATGACTTAGCACCTGGATGTAATTTAGATATTTAAAAACGAGTTTAAAAATGCCATTACACATAGAGCCAATTCTCTTCGGTCCATAGGATTTTCCAGGCAAGAATTCTGCAGTGGGTTGCCATTTCCTCATCCCGGACTTTCTTCCACCCCGAGACTGAAGCCGCGTCTCCAGCATTGGCAGGCAGATTCTTTACCACTGAGCCAGCTGGGAAGCCCAGTGACTCAACTCAGTTGTCCAGAGTTTTTCAGAAAATCTTCAGCGGGCATTGTACAGGGACGTGATGTTAGAGAACTGTAGGAACCTGGCCTACTTGGGTGAGGACAACTTCCTTCCAGAATCCCTTATCTACCCACTGGCTTTTGGTTCCATCATTTCTAGAATGTTTCTGAGAATTTTCTGATTCCCACAGTAGTTTGAAATCTCACCTATCTAGGGAAAATAGGCATGTATGAATTTAGAAAGAAAGGCTTCAGGATAATTCATTATGCTGGTAACCTTTTTCTTTCTTGATGTACTCTGCCTCCTTCTGTGAGAGTCAATTCCTAGGCAGGTTGATAAGAAGTCTGGGGTCCCTGAGCAGGAGGGGGGGGGGTTAGGGGTGGAGATAGGGGAGAGAGGGATCTTGAAGAGGAGATAGGGGTCTGGAATTCTCAAGGCAGAGAAAAGGACAAATACTGTTTTTTCCCTCTACATTCCTTGGTCTTAGACACATAAAATGACATTTTTATGTTATGTGTCTTAGACACATGGCTTTTTCTTTAAGCCCAGAACTGATGATTAAACAACAAACAACTCAGTTTAAACTCTGTACTACGGATTATATAACAGCAATGTATCCTGCTTGAGGACAGTTTATCCTTCCTGAATACCTCCTGACTAATCCTGATATCTTAGAATTTATATTACTGAAGTGGGCCTGGTTCAGTTCAGTTCAGTAGCTCAGTCCTGTCTATTTGCCACCCCATGGACTGTAGCACACCAGGGCTGTCTGTCCGTCACCGACTCCTAGAGTTTACTCAAACTCATGTCCATTGAGTTGGTGATGCCATCCAACCATCTCATCCTCTGTCGTCCCCTTCTCCTCCCGCCTTCAATCTTTCCCACTATCAAGGTGTTTTCAAATGAGTCATCCATTCACATCAGCTGGCCAAAGTATTGGAGATTCAGCTTTAGCATCAGTCCTCCCAATGAATATTCAGAACTGATTTCATTTAGGATGGACTAGTGGGATCTCCTTACAGTCCAAGGAACTTCCAAAAGTCTTCTCCAACACCACACTTTGAAAGTATCAATTCTTCCATGTTCAGCTTTCTTGGTAGTCCAACTCTCACATCCATACATGACTACTGGAGAAACCACATCTTTGACTAGATGGATCTTTGTTGGCCAAGTAATGTCTCTGCTTTTTAATACGCTGTCTAGGTTGGTCATAACTTTTCTCCAAGGAGCAAGTGTCTTAATTTCATGGCTGCAGTAACTATCTATATTGATTTTGGAGCCCCCCAAAACAGTCTATTACTGTTTGGATTGTTTCCCCGTCTATTTGCCAAGAAGTGATGCAGCCAGATGCCATGATCTTAGTTTTCTGAATGTTGAGTTTTAAGCCAACTTTTTCACTCTCCTCTCAGTTTCTTTCTTTCTTTCTTTTTCTAGAAAGAAGAACATTTCTTTACATTGAGTGGAGCTCTTCTTCCAGGAAAAAAAAAAAGAGCATGTCTTTTTTTTTTCTTTTCACGTCAGAAAGGTAATGTGCCGATGTCGTAACAAGGTTTGGAGGGAGGCACATATCACGCAGCAGCGTGAACACCCAATCATCATGCTCATGAACTACAAAGGGATAGGAGCATGTCTTATATTTATTTTTTCCTGAATTCTTTTCTTAATTGAAGTATAGTTGATGTACAATATTACATTAGTTTCAGGTATATACTATAGTGATTCAGTATTTTTACAGATTATACTCCATTAAAAGTTATCACAAGATAAAGGGTATAATTTTCTATGCTATACAATATATCCTTGTGACATCTATTTTATACACAGTAGTTTTTTAAATTTATTTATTTTAATCATAAGCTAATTACCTTGCAATATTGTAGTGGTGTCCTCTTTCAGTTTCATCAAGAGGGTCTTTAGTTCTTCTTCACTTTTTGCCATAAGGGTGGTGTCATCTGCATATCTGCGGTTATGGATATGTCTCCTGGCAATCTTGACTCCAGCTTGTGCTTCATCCAGCCCAGCATTTTTCATGATGTACTGTGAATATAAGTTCAATAAGCAGGGTGACAGTATACAGCCTTGAGTACTCCTTTCCTGATTGGGAACCAGTCTGTTGACCCATGTCTAGTTCTAACTATTGCTTCTTGACCTGCATACAGATTTCTCAGGAGGCAGATCAGGTGGTCTGGTGTTCCCATCTCCTGAAGAATTTTCCACAGTTTGTTGTGATCCACACGGTCAAAGGCTTTGGCATAGTCAATAAAGGGGTCTGGGTCTGGTAGGATCTTTCTACTGTTAAGTTCTAATCCAGTTATCCTCAAACATAAATTGTAGGAGTGGGTCTGGTAAAATTTTTGCAACTTTGAGACATTGTTTTGATTTATTGTAATTACTGATTTAATAAGTATGTAGCTCCCTTTCTTAGTCTAGCAAGGGGGGCACTCTCCGCCCCCTTCTGAGGTCTCTGTCAGAAGCTTCTCTGTCCCTTTTTCA